GCATATCTGAGGTTGTGGATATTTCTCCCGGCAATCTTGATTCCAGCCTGTGATTCATCCAGCCCGGCATTTCACATGAGGTACTCTGCATGTAAGTTATAATAAGCAGGGTGACAATACACAGCCTTGATGTACCCCTTTCCCAATTTTTCAACCAGTCAGTTGTTCCCTGTCAGGTTCTTAACTGTTGCTTCTGGACCCACACACAGGTTTCTCAGGAGACAAGTAAAATGTTCTGGTATTTACATCTCTTTAAGAATTTTCCACAGTCTGTTGTGATCTACACAGTTAAAAGGCTTTAGTGTAGTCAATGAAGCAGATTTTTTTGAAATTCCCTTGCTTTTTCTCTGATCCAACAGATGTTGACAATTTGATCTCTGGTTCCTCTGCCGTTTTTAAATCCAGCTTGTACATCTGGAAGTTCTTGGTTCACAAGCTATTGAAGCCTAGTTTGTGAGTGTTATCTTGAGTGTTATCGTGCTCGCATGTGAAATGAGCATGGTTGCTATGGTAGTTTGAACATTCTTTGGCATTGCCCTTCTTTGGAATTGGGATGAAAACTGACCTTTTCCAGTCCTGTGGCCACTGCTGAATTTACTAAATTTGCTGACATATTGAGTATTGCACTTTAACAAAATCATCTTTTAGCATTTTAAATAGCTCAACTGGAATTCTGTCACCTCCTCTAGCTTTGTTCATAGTAATGCTTCCTAAGGCCCACTTGACTTCACACTCCAGAATGTCTGTCTCTAGGTAAGTAACCACACTATTGTGGTTATCAGGGTCATTAAGACTTCTTTTGTATAGTTCTTCTGTGTATTCTTGCCACCTCTTCTTAATCTCTTCTGCGTCTTTTAGATCCTTGCCATTCTGTCCTTTATTTTGCCCATCTTTGCATGAAATGTTCCCTTGGTATCTCCAGTTTTCTGGAGATCTGTAGTCTTTTCCATTCTATTGTTTTCCTCTATTTCTTTGCATTGTTCATTTAAGAAGTCCTTCTTACCTCTTCTTGCTGTTCTCTGGAACTCTGCCTTCAGAGTTGGGTATATCTTTCCCTTTCTCCCTTGCCTTTCGCTGCTCTTTTCTCAGCTCTTTGTAAAGCCTCCTCAGACAACCACTTAGCCTTCTTGAATTTCTTTTTATTTGGAATGATTTTGGTCACTGCCTCCTATACAGTGTTATGAACCTCCATCCATAGTTCTTCAGGCACTCTGTCTGCTAGATCTAACCCTTGAATCTGTTTATCACCTCTATTTTATAACCATAAGGGATTTGGTTTAGGTCTGAATGGCCTAGTGGTTTTCCCTACTTTCTTCAGTTTAAGTCTGAATTTTGCAGTAAGGAGCTCATGATGTGAGGTACAGTCAACTCCAGTCTTATTTTTGCTGACTGTATAGAGCTTCTCCATCTATAGCTGCAAAGAATTATAATCAATCTGATTTCAGTATTGACCATCTGGTGATACCCATGTGTAGAGTCATCTCTTGTATTGTTGGAAGAGAGTGTTATGACCAATGTTTCTCCTGACAGAACTCTGTTAGCCTTTGCCCTGGTTCATTTTGTATTCCATGGCCAAACTTGCCTGTTCTTCCAGGTGTCGTTTGACTTCCAACTTTTGCATTCCAATCCCCTGTGATATAAAGGACATCTTTTTGGTATTAGTGCTAGAAGGTCTTGTAGGTCTTCACAGAACAGTTCAACTTCACCTTCTTCGGCATTAGTGGTTGGGCATGGACTTTGATTACTGTGATGTTGAATGGTGTGCCTTGAAATGAACTGAGATCATTCCGTCGTTTTTGAGATTGCACCCAAGAACTGCTTTTTGGTCTCTTGTGTTGACTACAAGGGCTACTCCATTTCTTCTAAGGGATTCTTGCCCACAATAGTAGATACAATGGTCATCTGAATTAAATTTGTCCATTCCTGTCCATTTTAGTTCACTGATTTCTAAGATGTCGATGTTTACTCTTGCTATCTCCTGCTTGACCACATCTGGTTTACCTTGATTCATGGGCCTAATGTTCCAGGTTCTTTTGCAGTATTGTTCTTTACAGCATTAGACTTCACAACTTTTCACTACCAGACACATCCACAACTGGGTGTCATTCCCATTTTGGCCCAGCCTCTTCATTCTTTCTGGAGCTTTCTCTCTGCTCCTTCCCAGTACCTTATTGGACACCTTCTGACCTGGAAGGCTTATCTTCCGGTTTCATAATCTTTTTGCCTTCTTATGCTGTTCATGGGGTTCTAGAGGTAAGAATCGGAGAAGGCAATGGCAACCCACTCCAGTGCTTTTGCCTGGAAAATCCCATGGACGGAGGAGCCCTATGGGATTGCACCCCAGGCTGCAGTCCATGGGGTCCCAAAGAGTTGGACACGACTGAGCGACTTCACTTTCACTTTTTCACTTTCATGCATTGGAGAAGGAAATGGCAGCCCACTCCACTGTTCTTGCCTGGACAATCCCAGGGATGGCGGAGCCTGGTGGGCTGCCGTCTGTGGTGTTGCACAGAGTCTGACAAGACTGAAGTGACTTAGCAGCAGCAGCAGCAACAGAGGCAAGAATACTGGAGTGGTTTGCCATTGCCTCCTCCTGTGGACCACGTTTTATCAGAACTCTCCACTATGACCTGTCCATCTTGGTGCTCATAGCTTCATTGTGTTATTAAACAGGCCCCTTCACTATGACAAGGCTGTGATCCATGAAGGGGCACCTTAATTCTGCTTTCTATCAAAGCCAGAAGTGCCCTCAACAGTACCCCTTACGGAGGCGACCTTCACGTCTCTTTAAATGTCTTTAAAGGAATCAGTGTCTATTCTCTTCAGGAGATTCCCAGTGGCTACCTCGTTCATTAGATGGGAATCACATTTGATTAGAGGAATTCCAAATTCTAGATTCTTAGATTGCCAGGCTCATGGAGAAGTCCCTATTAAGGTCACTTGGTTGAAAAATGAAGCAAAAGTGTCTGCAAATAAGCTGATCCAGGTTCTGTCCAACAGCTCTTTATATATCAGTGAAGCGGAAGCCAGGTAAGGAGTTCAATCTGATGAAGGATTTTATCAGTGCTTGGCCATGAATAACATGCAGCCATTCTTAGTCAAAAACCTCATTTTACCTTATCAATGTGCTCCTGGGCTTCCCAGGTGGCTCAGTTGTAAAGAAGCAGCCTGCCAGTGCAAGAGACACAGGAGACAGGGGTTTGATCCCTGGATTGGGAAGATCTCCCAGAGGAGGAAATGACAACCCCCTCCAGTATTCTTGCCTGGAGAATCCCATGGAGGATTCCATCCACCAGAGGAACCTGGTGGGCTGCAGTCCATGGGGTCACAAAGAGTCACACAAGACTGAGCAACTGAGCAAACTCTAACCATTATAGATATAATTCTTAAATCTGGCTGCCCATCACAGTCACTGAAGAAATGGCTTAAAAAAAAAAGAGGAATAATTTCATATAAATGGGATCATAACATACATGATGTTTTTATTATAGAAAATTTGTTTCTCCTTTCCTTAAATCAGTCCCTACTGTTTACCCCTGCTCCCAACCTTCTCAGACAATAATCTATTGTGCATATATCTGTATTTTTCTGTTCGTGTAATCCTGTGCAGACGTATATATATCATGTATTTTTGTTGGGGATTATTTTACAGATTTTTTTCTTTTAACTCAGTAATACTTGAAAATTCCTCTAAGTCATCTAGTTTAATTCATTTCTTTTTCTTTTTTTTAAGTGGCTGAATAGTATTTGATATTGAGGATACTATAGAGTATTTAGCCATTCTGCTGTAGATAGGCATTACTTTATTTCTAGTAATTAACCAAACAATGCCACAATAAACTGATATTTTTGCTTCTTATTCTCAAGAGGGTAAGAGGGTAAATATATTTTCAATCTTAATGGTTATCTCTAGATTGCTTTCTAGGAAGACTATAACATTTCACATTTCCTCTAACAATGTTTAAGGCTATTCTCCCACATTCTTTATGGAAATCTCTTAAAAATAAATATTCCCAGGCTCTAACCAGAAAGATTCTGATTTAGTATGTCTGTGGAGAGATACACAAAGCTGTATTTTAAAAAAGTTCTAGATGAATCAGAGGTAGTATTGGAACCACTGCATTTAAGCACAAGAAAATACTAAAATTAACTGGCCTCCTAGCTTAGTATTAGCAATATCATGCTTTAGTTAGGTACACATATTAGAATCAAAATATCAAATCAAGATGTGAATTGGCAATAGACATATATATCAAATGTAGGTCAAGGGTGTGTGCACTTTGAGAAGGCTTAATTAGTTGTATTGGGGCAAGCCCCTTGGGAGTCACATATCCAGTTTGGAGCAGCTCATCTTTTTACAGTCTCACAAGATTTTTAGGAAGAGAGAAACATTTAGAATTTGTTTAGAATGTAAGTGATTAGAGAGATGCTAATGAGGAAATAAAAGACCACACTACACATATAAAATGTTGAAGAGCTCCTGCTCATAGTATATAATTGGACGTGAAAATCCAAAGACTTGAGTTTTAATCCTGGTTAAACTACTTACTACTTGTCAGACTCTGGAACTTGTTTTCCTGTTTTGTAAAATGAGATGGTTTAATATATGATTACTATGATAATTTCCTAATTAGACTGGAGACAACATTTCCCTTGTCATCGCAGATGCTCTAGAGAATTACTGTCAGGTAATTTCCTCTATATCTATTATAAGTCTTGGACCCAAATCTGACAGCAGCAAAGCTGATTATATTTACTATTTAGCTATGTGTCTACAGAGCCCCTTCTCTTGGGCCTGTGTTTGAGATCCCTATGGCCTATGGGAAGCTATTCATATTCTGAAACTCCTGTTTCTACATTCTAGGAATCCATCCTCCATTGAGTTCAGAGATGAATATTTGTTATGTAATGAAGCAAAAACTCCAGAGTTTTGTGTTGCAGGCTGAGTGCAGACTGGGAGAAGAGATGGGTTCAACTTGTATTTGTGTTTTCCTCCTCAGGCTCTGCAGATGGTGTAGGGAGGAGGCTGCACTCAGCCCCTCGCCTTGGTCTCTCAAAGACCCCAACAGCAGAAATGGAGCACAGTCTCCATGAAGCCAACACAGTGTCTGCTTCTCAGGTAGCCACCTCAGGTTCTATAGTTCCGGGCATGGGGTGGTGTGTTGGGAAAGAATTATGGAGAGATGTGAGTGGTGGGGTTGGTGATAAGGCAGGGCATAGGAATGTGGGGCTGTTAGAAGAGAACAAGATCTATGATTGGGCTTCTTTTGAGTGAGAGGAGATTGCCACATGGCTACTGCTGCTAAGTCACGTCAGCCGTGTCCGACTCTGTGCGACCCCATGGCTACTGCCTTTTAAATATACCTAATTTGGATCTCTACTAGTGAGTCTTACTTATCCTATTCTCTCCCATATCCCTCGGGACAGAGTCTGTGGGAAAACCGCAGGTCTGATGTTATGTGTCTGCCTGTGTGTCTGTGTGTTTGAAGGCCGCACCTTGCCGAGGCCCTAGCAGGGAGTGTGGGGAGGATGATCAGTATGGTGCGGAGAACTTTCGGCGCATCTCACGCAGTCTCAGTGGCACCGTTGTCTCAGAGAGGGAGGAGGTCCCAGTCTCTTCCCACAGTTTTGTAAGTAGAATCAGAGTCTGTCTATTTAGAGCATCTTCTTTCTCTTGCTAGGCAAAAATATACTGCGGGTGAAGGGGCAGGAGAAATGGAAGGTTGTAATTTGGGGAAAGCCACATGCACTCAGCAAAAATGAGGACATGTAATCATCATTTTTTTTGGTTACACGTTCACTTGAAGCCTAGACTAGAATGTTCTTTCCCTGTAGCAGTTCTGGAAGGTGTAATGTAGGCTTCCTCAGGATGAGAAGAGTCCCAGAAGCCTCGAGAAGAGTCTCTGAGGAGCCATGACTGCTGACTGGGTCATAATCCATTGCACTAATCAAAGGAAAAAGAAGAGATGGGATGAAGTATTGTTTTGCCTGTTCTTCCCCAGCCTAGAAAATGACCGAGTTGGGTGCAGTGGGCTTTCAAGCTGAAATGAAGCATATGCATTGGCAGCAAAAGGAAAATGACTTAAAGTCCTATCTTTGGGGCATTTCATATAGAATTAATGCAGTAATCTATAGATGAAAGGGACAGGGATATCCAAGTCAGCAGAGATCAGCAAACTCAAATAGTTTCAGTGGTTGTATTTCTAAAATGTGCCTTTTGAGAATTTCATACACTTGCCTGAGGCAACTTGAGATTTTATTACAGTATAGGTCAGGATACAAAGCACCAGTAGTACATTGAAGCTTGCTCACCATGTCAGTTTGATAAAAATTTTAAAAAACAGGTCTTAAATATGTGGTATAAAAATAGAAAAGTACAAAAAGGAAAACTAAGTCTCTTCCACCAGTTCTTCAGATCCAGTTTTTTTCCCAGTGACTACCCACGAGGTAGTCATTTTTTCTAGTTTATTGTCATAAATTTATAAATAGCTCTGAACAGTTGGCCACTCTGTTTGGAAAAGGTGGTCTTTTTTGCCCAGCATTTGTTCTCATATACCTTTAATGGCAAGTTGTTATTTTCCTAGGAGAGTTGGCTTCCTTTTGGCCTGATTTCTGTATCATTCATTTATTCATTGATTCATTCTTTTAAACAAATGCTTTCTGAGCTTATCTTCTAGGTATTGTGCCGAAAAATGGTGTTGAGTGAGCTAGATACAGCCCCTGCTCTCTTGACTTTACAGTCTACTGGAGGAGACATATAAACAATTACAATATAAATATGATAGGATTTAATGCTATGGAAGCAAAATAGAGGGGACATCTAAACCAGGCTTGAGGAATCAGGGAAGTCTTCCTGGAGAATTAAAATGAATGTAGCAGATCAAGGGGACTGAAGCAGATATTAGCTGAGTTAAAAAAAAAAGCTCTAATGATAATATTTGAGGGAAGAGAAGCAGGAATATATTTGGGGGGAGAGATATGTGCAATTTTGGACGTATTAAGCTTGAGTGGAGATAGATATCTGGTAGGCTTTTGATTCTGAGACATATAAAATTGAAATTGAGATTTGAGAATCATAGCCACTGAAAAGAGGAAGAGAATTGCAAAAAGATGAAAAAAGCCAGGACATATCTCTGAAGAGAATCAGACTTAAGGTTCTTCTTTTGAAGAACCCCAAAAGGAGACTTGGTAAGAGACTAGAGAGATGGAAGGGGAGCCAGTGAAGAGTGGTGTCTTTCTTTTGGCGACTGTGTCACCTGCAGAGAGGACTGGCACCTCGTCTGTAGGCCATTTGGTAAATGCCAACCACGTGCCATGCTGGGTTAGGTGCTATGAGCACACACGGATGAAACAACACAAAATATCTTACAGTCTCAAAAAAGAAATAAGATATACTGGCATATAAATTATTTTATTTAATATTTATTAAGTGCCTATAATAGTCCTCCAGGAGCTGTTCAAAGTTTATGGGGATACTGGAGTGAAAAGAAATGTATGCTAGTAGGAGATAAAGACATTAAACAAGTAAACCCCAGACAGTGTGTGATAAAGAATAAAACAAAGCCAGAGGCTAAGGAGTAAAGAGGTAATAGTGGTTATTCTCAAGGCTGTTTTTGATAGAGTAGTCAGGAAAATCAGCTCTAAGAAAGTAACATTTGATGAGAGACCTCAGTGATGCGAAGGTGTAAGCCATGGGAAGAGCATTCCCAGTAACAGAAACACAAAGTGTAAAGGCCCTAAGGTGGAATAAGCTTCATATGTTTCAAGAACGTTAAGAAGGTTGGAGTGTAAAAGGCACAGGAATGGTAGGAGATAAAGTGAGAAAGATCAGCTTTGCCATACCACATAGAACTTGCAGGCCACACTATAGGAGGCAGTGGGCTGGAGATAGGAAGACTACATTGGAGGCTGCTGCAGTGGTCTAGTTAAATTTAAATATAAAACCTGTAGGTAGAAATGATAGTATATGGCATAGGCAACTAATGGAATTGTGGATTAAAAGTGCAAAATCAAGGGCAGTGTCAATATTTTGAGTCTAGGTGACTTAAGAAAATACGGTACCAGAGGGAGGAGTTGGGAAGAATGTTGGTTCAGTTTTGGACATATTAGTGTCTCATATATTAAAAGACATGTTTCTGAGACTTTGCCACATAAGTGAATGACAAATGAAGAACAAAGTAGGTCATAAGCAACAGTGAGTACAGACTTGACAGGCAGCACCAAAATGGCGACTGGAGGGTAGCAGTAAGAGAGATGGAGTAGAGAGTTTCTGACTGTACATTTAGGGAGATATTAGTTCCCAATATTTAGAGTGTAGAATTTTTCAATCTTTTTGTCTTTCTGAATTTCTTATTTCTTCTCTATTTTAAGTTTTTATTAGTTTTTTTAGAGGCTTCTGTTATTTTTTTTTTAACTACGTCACACGACTTGAGGGATCTTAGTCCCCTGACTAGGGATTGAACCTTGGCAGTGAAAACTTGCAGTCCTTACCACTGGATAGCCAGGGAATTTCCCTCTTCTCTATTTTTAAATTTCTATCTCATTCTCTAATTTTAATAGTAGCATTAAGGACTTTGCTAAAGACCTTGATGTTAGGATTGAGAAAGTGAGGGTTATGAGGAAGACATATTAAGAGAAGAGAACTGTACTTTGGTGTCTTAAGTTATAGTGGAGGATGTTTCACAGTCAGGGTGTTTCCTAGAGGGGCTGATGGGAAGAGTGTCGAGTAAATTGGGTCCATCTCTAGATTATGGAATGTTTGTACTCTAGTTCCTTCCATACCCGCTGCTTCCCTCACTGTGTTTACCCAACCATATCCTGCTGTGTGTTAATCCTCATCTCTATGTTTTTTTTTTTGTCTTGTCTCACTGTAAGGATTCATCAAGCGTGAGGAAAAAGCCTTTGGAAACCCGGCATCGTTGTTCCAGCTCCTCTTCCCTCCCTGTCATCCATGACCCTCCTGTATTTCTCCTTGGTCCCCACCTCTACCCACCCCAACCACAGTTCCTGTCCCCAGATGTCTTGATGCCCAGCATGGCAGGGGAGCCCCATAGACCCCCAGGTAACTCTCCCCAAATCTAATGTGCTGGAAGGTAGTACTTTTCCAGGGACGTGGAAGAATCAAATCAGTGCATCTGTTGGGGGGTGGGGAAGGGGAAGGAAGGTCCCAAGGTGGAGTTGTAAAGGGAAATGAATTATTGCTTTAAAGATCAAGCATTGATCTTGATGAATCATGACTGAATCATTTCTTGGGCGACGTGGGGTCTAGACCAGAGCTCCCAGAATCTAACTACTCATGAAAATGAACTGCTTCAGTTGTGATAGGATATGATTTTAAGTGACCCAGGGAATTAGTACCCAGTCTTTAGGATCCCCCAAAACAGGAAATACCATCTCTATCAGCTGTTTTTCTCTCCTTTCATCCCAAGTCTCAGTTGAGGGATGGTCTAGGAGGATGAGTAGTGAATGGCAGACTTGGAAAGATCCTATGCACAGAATACCCATGCCATGTATAGAGACCCAAACAATCCTGGGGAAGGTGGGCAGCATCCTTCTGGCTTTCTTTGACCCTCCACAGCAAGATTTGTTCCATTTTTCCCCTCATGGACCAAATCTACAGTTTAAGGCAGTGATTCTTAATGAGAAAGGGGAGGTGCCCATGGCATCTAGTGGGTAGAAAGGCCAGGGATGCTGCTAAACATCCAGCAATGCACAGAGAAGTTTCCTTGCACACCCCTACCCTACTCCTAAGACAAAGAATTATCAGCCCCAAATATCAGTAATGCCAAAAGTTGATAAACCTGTCTATGGGTATAAATCCCCAGGGAAAAGGATCTTCTTAGAACTGAGTAGTACTGTTGATATTTGTGTCCAAATTTTAGGGAGCTTTGGATAAGCAGGCATTCTGGATAAATAGACTTCTTATTACTCAGTGGAACTGCCAGGTCACCAGCATCCTTTGAGAGTTACTAGAAGTATCTGATCAGTAAGGCAGCATTTATTGCAACTTGTTCTGCACCAAATACTGCAGTAAATACATGGGAGAAAGAAGGCAGTTATCTGCTCTTAAAGAGCTCAAAGTTTTAGTAATCAGGTATATATATATATATATGTATAGTACAGCTATTGATGGAATTTAAAAAATAAAAATGAGAAGTACGGTTTAGAAGTGATGTTTGGAAAATTAGTTATTTTGCTTCTTTTAAGTAAAGGGGAATCAATGTATAGAAAAGGCATTCTACATTATGTATGTGGGAGTAGTGCAAACAAAAGCGAAATCTTGGAGAATGAACACAAATGTAAGCAGACACAGTTCAACTGGAGTGAAAGTACCATGTTAAGAAAAACTGAGTGATGTTTTGGAGTGGTGGCTCTAAGGAGTAAAATTATCACAATGAGAACATATGTTTGGAATATCAGAGAGCCATTCACGTATGTGTGTTTGTATCTGTCTGTCTTTTGGAGGACAGATTGTAACACAGTGAGATAGGAGTATGGCAACATCCAGGAGACTGTTTTATTTGCACAGATTGGCAGTGATTTGATTTTAATGTATATTAAGATTTTTAAAAATGACATTAAAAGCAAAGCTAGGTTCCTTCTTTCCCTTATTTGTATGTTCTTAAAGAGGTGGGGAGTTGGAAGGAACAGCCAGGAATGGTCCTCTGGGAAGGATAATAGTTTTATTGAAGATGCTCAATCTTTGGGTTTCTTTTCTCTCTCCAGGAACTTCGAGGAATGTCCAGCAGTTTCTGGCTATGTGTGACAGGGGTGAAACTTCCGAAGGGGTCAAGTACACAGGAAAGACTTTGAACTACCGGAGTCTCCCCCATCGTTCCAGACCAGATGCCTCCCGGGGACCATGGTCAGAGGCCAACCAGCATATTGGGGCCAGATTCCTGACTACTCCAGGGTGCAAGCCTCAGCTAACCCACACTGCCACACTACCAGAAAGACACCAGGGCCTTCAGGTTCCTCATGCTCAGTCCTGGGGGGATCTTTTCCATTCACCCTCCCATCCTTCTGTTGTTCACCCTGTGTCGCCATCATCAAGCAGTCTTCGTGTACCCATGAGGTCAGCTTGGAATTCAGGTCCTGTTCCAGGGTTTCGAGCCCCTGGTCCTCGAAGAGTAGATATGCCCCCAGATGATGACTGGAGGCAAAGCAGTTATGCCCTGCCATCTAGACACAGGAGGACAGGGAGAGAGGAGTTTCTTTTTGTCCTAGCAGATGCCCCTGGCAGAGAACAGATGAGGGGAAGAGCCCTGCAGCAGAGCAGGTGGTAAAGGTCATCCCTTTCCTCTCCTGGAGCCACAGCTTTCTCTGTTGAGCTGGACTGCAGCAGAGTTGGTACCCTGCATCCCTGCCAAGGTTGTGCAAGTCTTATCTCAACCCAGAGTTGGCAGTTTCTCCCAGGGGTGCCAGGAACCCCTAAGGAGACCTGGCTTTGAGGGAATATTTGAAACTCCAATTTCCATTCACCTAGCAAAAGGAAGCAGCTGCTGTGTAGGGCTTTATTTGATCCACTTTAAAGATGAATCCATGTTACTCTGGACACTAGCCATTCCTTAGGATCTTAGGGTCACCATTTTATTCTTGAATACTCTAAGCCCTCATATTCTGTTCCCTGTTATATTACCAACTTCTATGCTTTGTTTTATCCACCTACCCCTATTATCCGACCTTCTGTCTTCTCCATCCCTCATCCTTGGAGGGACATGTAGCCCTGTGGTCTTGGTCCTGACCACATCATTCAGGCTAGCCCACCTGCCCAGCCTGTCAGCCTTCCCTCAGCCGCCAAACCTTAGGCCTAGAATGTGGGGCTGCCAACATAACATTTACTCTTCGGAACAGATGGGAGTCAGGCACACTAACATACCCTCCTGTCCTCAGCAGCACAGCCATTACTGCCACTTGCTCAGTCGCCGCTGTAAACCCTCAGAGTCAGCTGAACTATTTTAGGGCCAAACATACTGTTTTTGTAAAGTATTTTTCATTAATAAATCTATAAGATAGTTCTATTTAATTCCTTGTCATTTAATTGTCTATTTGATTCCTTTTGTATTTTCTTGCTCTTTTGTATTGGGCTGGGGAAGCAAGAAATACCAATTCCCAGTGGCCTGGGGCTCAGTATATGGCTTTTGACTGAGTGAAAGTGAGGCACCGAGGAGCTGAAGACTGGTTGAAGGGTATGTATTCAAGGTAGGAGTCAATGAGTCCTAATATGGAGTGACTTTCCTTGTTGTTATTGATGCTGGTATATTTTCTATCCCTTTCCTGCCAAGAGGCACTCAACACTTTCATACACTCTCCTTGCCTCCTCAGGGAGATATTCTGGGATTCAGACCCCTCTTACAAACTCACTCCTGACGTAGGGACTCTTGGTGCCCTCCCCCTACACATTTCTCATGTGCCTCTTGTCCCTCCCTTGCTCTCTTCATATGGCTGCACCTTCTCTTCCCTCCAGAATTATGGCACTTCCATGTCAGAAAGATCCATTTTCATCCCTTCCTCACTTGAAAATTCATCTCCCTCTAAAAAATAATATGTGAGCTCCCTTAGCAAACATTACCCACTGGGCATTTCTCTTCTTTTAGATTATTCCAGCTCTCAGGATCATTAAGATTGACAAGTCAAGAGGTAGAAAGGTGGTCTTTGAGTCGTTTGGACTATTGCTTGCCTAATTATCACCATTATGAACAGATTCTGAGCCATGTAGTATCGAGCAGGCAGATGGGCAGGCATTTCTCACCCTATCCTACTTGAATTCTGTGCCATCAAGATAATATAGATCTGGAACTTCCCTGACAGTCCTGTGGTTAAGACTCCGCGCTTCCACTGCATAGGGCACTGGTTTGATCTCTGGTTGGGGAACTGAGATCTGACATACCTCTAGGTGCAGCAAAAAATATATATATACACATAGATCTTAGGATATTCTGATCCGTGCTACTGAGCGAGTACCTCTCCTGGTGTCATAACACATACTCTTCTTATAATAATTATTGATTGAACAATCATTTATTGTCCCACTACTCCCTTCCCCATGAAGGTACATCTTTAAAGTTTCCATAGAAAACCTGGGCCTACATTCTACCGTAGAGGTATTTTTTCAGTTTAGTTCAGTCGCTCAGTCGTATCTGACTCTGTGACACCACAAACCGCAGCACGCCAGGCCTCTCTGCCCATCACCAACTCCCGGAGTCCACCCAAACCCATGTCCATAGAGTGGATGATGCCATCCAACCATCTCATTCTCTGTCGTCCCCTTCCCTTGCCCTCAATCTTTCCCAGCATCAGGGTATTTTCCAATGAGTCAGCTCTTCATCAGGTGGCCAAAGTATTGGAATTAGAGCTTCAACATCAGTCCTTACAATGAACACCCAGGACTGATCTCCTTTAGGATGGATTCGTTGGATCTCCTTGCAGTAGAGGTATTTCTTATGAGGAACTAATTTCCAATTCCCCATTGCCTTCGAAATCTCTCTTTTCTCAGTGAATCAAGAGGGAGGCTGTGTCCTTTTCAGATGAATTTCGTAGACTCTATGAACATCTCGGTGACAAAACTCTTCCTTTCCTCTTACCTGTTTTGATTCTTAACCCTTAGAGCCTAGTCGGCTCTACCTGCATTCTTTGTGCTTTCAGACTCTTGACAATTGCAGGCTCTAAACACAAGGGCCAGATTGTGTCTCAAATTCCATTCTGAACCGTTGCTTCGCTCTAGAAACCTACAATGCTTCCTCTAATTCTTATGTCAGTTACCCGGATCTGATAGTCAAATTGTTATACTTTTTTTTTTTCTCTATTTGTGGGAGATTCTTAGGTTTGGTCACGTCTCCCCATCTTTCTAGGAGATCCATGAAAGCCGGTGTCATGTTCCCTAGCACTCGTTCACCGCAGGAACTAGCTACAGACAATCATCTCTCCTCACTTTTTTTTATTTCTGCTTGCCCAGAATTTTAAGCTGATCCCTTGGCATGGTCTTGTTTCTCTCCTAGCTTCAGTAATTTTGCTCAAGTCCCTAGAGCCTGCTCCGCCCCCGCCCCCGCAAGCGCGGTGCATGCCGGTCTTAGCCCCTCTGTAGGGAAAGAGGGTCCGCCATGTTCCCCGGCGGCGCCGCCGCTTGGCTCTGGTAGCCGCCGCCCCCGCCCCCAGCCCCGCCCGGCCCAGCGCCTAGCCGAGCCCCGGGCCCAGCATGGCCGCCCCGGAGCCGGCCCGGGCTGCACCGCCCCCACCCCCGCCCCCGCCGCCCCCTCCCGGGGCTGACCGCGTCGTCAAAGGTGAGAGGTGGACGAAGCCCTGGGGGCCTGGCCTGATGAGATAGCTGTGTGAGGGCGGGCGGGAGACCGTCCCCTCCGGAGCGGGCCCGGAAGGGCGGGCGAGTGACTGGCTGCCTCACTTGGGGAGTGGCCCCTGGGCGGGCCCCTGCTGGGCTGGGCTGAGTCGGTGGTGGCGGCTCCGAGGTCTCTCGCTTGCCTGCGGGCCGTGGCAAAGGTTTCGTTCTGTAGGTCTCCTAGCCGGAGGGGTGAGGCTACTAGTCGCAGTGAGCCTCTTTCTTTTCCTGCCCGGCCTGTCAAAGCGGCCCTGAGGCCGCGATTAGCTTTCTGCACCACGACAGCTGCACGCCTGGCTTGCCGGGACGAACGGAGGGGCTCTGAGACCTTCAGCCACGCGGGGCTGGGCGATGAGCAGTCAGAAATCACCTCGCCTTTGGCCCATGCCTGCTCCCCAGTGACAGCCGTCCGCCCTACTCGCGCCTAGTTAATGCCAGCCACAGGGGTTCGCACTCGGCCCTCAGGTGTCACCCCGCGCGGAAATTGGGGGAACTGTATGGGATTGGACAAGGGTGAAGGGACAAGCCAGGATTTGGGGGCCCCGGGTTTAAGTGCAGAAGAGATGAAAAAAAGACAGTAAAAAAAGATAAAAAAAGAGCTTCGGGGATAGGAAGAAGCATTTACTTAGAACAGGCAACACTGGTCAGAGGGCAAGAGGGGTTGGCTCTCCCGTGCATGCAAACGCCTACACACTCCCCCTAGAAGAAAAAATTAAATATTTCTCCGCTGGTGCAGAATTTATGATTGTTTAACTATAACCGGTCATCACATTAATTTGAAATAGAGAAATTGAAGGCTAATTTAGAATTGCTTAAAATTCCCATGCTCTCTGGGAGAGCCCATCAACTTCAAACACTGCTGTGGAGGTGAAGAACATAATTTGAAATGATTTTTCTTTATCATGTAGCTTGGTCAATAAATTGAAATCATTTTAGAATAAAGTTTTCTTTATTGTATCACATTTATTTTTGAAAGATAGATACTTCTTTTGTTTTGTTTATTTCATTCAACTTCTCAAACATACTCCCATAATGTTTAAACACTGTTAGCCCAGTTTTGGAAATCTGACTAGACATGTTTCCATTAAAATATTTAAAAACAAGAAAAACTTTTTCTTTTGTGGTTTTTAAATTTTAATTTATCAATTCTAGCCTCCTTTAATGATAATACTAATTTGTATCTATGTTTATGTAGACCGTTTAAAAAAACTTAATAGTGTATATATTTGGGCCAGGCATCAACTGAAGAAAGCTTTTATGGAATCCTTATCCCAAGAAGTCTTTTAGAAAAGAGAAAAAAGATTGGTAGTTCAGACATTCATACTATTGTAAAATCTTGAAGTTTTGTTGGGTTGGGAATAGGAGACATGAGCTGCCTGTTTTCTGACAGTATACCTGTGCTGTCTATTAATTTCCCCTGGCACTTTTCACCCTACTATTAGATGGGACAACCAGTCACATTTCTGAACAGTAAGTTTATGCTATACTTATGCTTGTGAATCTCCTTGATTTTTGTCATTTATATGGTAATGTTTCCCTTGTACTGCTTTAATACAGTAAAAATAAGATTCCAGACACACGGCATATTCCTTAGGGGTGGGTTGTGAATACAAGACACAGTCATATTTGCAGTTTATTGACATGAAATAAAAGTCATTTGATTTAGGTAAATGGGAGTTTGTTGATATAGAAAATCATAGTAGAACTCGTGGATATAAAATCCCATGTACTTAGTAGTATGCTCTTCAAGACAACTTTCATTTCTTTATGGAATTTGTTAGCTAGTTGGAATGGCGGATATGGATCACATGCTTTAGAGATAGTGTGCAATCTGGTTTGTGCTGCTCCAGGAATTTCTGGCTTCCTTGGAAGTTACTGGGAAATAGAAATCTTTTATATTTCATTTTCAAGCTTCTTTCTTGCCTTCCTCAGTAAGTAATTGTAGTATAATGTTGCATTTGATGACAAAGAACCTCAGTTTGCTGAAGCTATATAACCACGGTTGCTAATTCAACTTAAGTTTAACTTGTTACAAATCTAGATTTAAGTCTAGTATGTGCTAGTTTTGCACCATTTCATAGTGGTAAGGTTATAGAGACCATCATTGGCACTGAATATAAATAGCATTTTACTCCCTGGAACTTTCCCCTGTTGTGTCAGATTCTATACGCTTAGACTTCTAGTCAAGAGGCCTGTATTTTATGGTCATATAGGTTTTGAAGGGGAATAGGTCTTCTGTCTTTAGTATCAAATGCCTGAATTTCACGCTATGTGAAGTTTGAGATCTTGGAATATGGTAGGTGATTCGTGTATAAATTATCTATTCACTGAAATTATTAGTGGTAATTCCATATCCCTGATTACGGGTGATTAGGTTTCCTGGTTCATTAAGACAGTTCAGTTCTGGGCCTGCTCCAGCTTCTGGCTCTGGTCAAATTCATCTTTTTGAAAGTTGGTGGAGGCCAAGTGGTTTAGGTGAGATAGTATGCCCTCTTAACTATTTTCTGTTAAGCATTTTTTATCTTTAGCTAAGCTAGTAAGCTTGTAGTAAGGAAATAGAAACAAACTAGGAAAAACAGTTAATTTTTCCTAGTGCCTTTTTGCCACATCAGCAAAATTGGTGTGTGTAATTAAAGCATAAAACCCTGAATTTATTTATATTGCTCTTCCTCCTCCCCCTGAAATTTACTTGACCTGAAATGTCCAGGTACTTCCTTTTTTCCCTCAGATACTTTTAAAATGTACTTTTTACTGTATAGATGAGGTCCCAGATTTGTAAAACTAATTTTCCCTTGAAATTAATCTATTACACTTGATGCAAAAATTCACCTTTATTGCTTACAGCACATTGTGTGTTTTCTGTGCGTGTTCATTTAGCACCCACAGTGCTGCTCACTTTCTTTTGCATTCAGCATGTTTTATTCCCTAGGTTTTATTATCCTTATCTCTTAAATTATCAGACTTTCAGATTGAACCAAAATGTGTGTGTTGTAAGTTTTTTACCTGTTATATATCTAATGGGCAGCCTTGTGATTCATTTAGGTTCTGTTGCCTGCTGCCCTGCTTAAAAATCAGAGTTTGTTTGGCTAACGTGTTTTCCAGTACCTTAGCTTTAATAGGATTGCTTATTTTCATTACAGATTTTTAGATGATCTACATAGGTCTTGGAGTCACATAGCTACTTCAAGTGTTTTGTGTGTGTGTGCGCAGGCTGATTCTAGTTCATTATGTTTGCTTTTTTAAAAAAAATAATTTTATTTATCTATTTATGGCTGTGCTGGGTCTTTGTTGGTGTGTTTTCTTTCTTCTAGTTGCAGAGAGCAGGGGCTACTGTCTAGTTGTAGTGCGAGAGCTTCTCCTTGTAGTGGCTTCTCTTGTTGCAGAGCATGGACTACAGAGCGTGTGGGCTTCAGCAGCTGTGGCACGTGGGCTAAACAGTTGCGGCCAGGTTCTAGAGCACAGGCTCAGCAGTTGTGGTGCATGGGCTTAGTTACTCCGTGGCATGTGGGATCTTCTCAGAAGAGGGATCGAACAAATGTCTCCTGCAATGGGAGACAGATTCTTTACCACTGAGTCATAGGGAAGCCCTAGTTCATTATATTTTAAAGGAACTTGAATTTTAATTTTTTTTCTTTTTTACAAAATCTGTTTTATGGACTTAACCTATCTAATAGAGATAATTCTTGAAAATGATTTTTCTTTTCCTTTTTACCCTGGTCAAACTGTTGAGCATACTAAAATAAATCTTCAGTACCATGTGTCCTAGAGAAAGCAAGGGAACAGAGAATAGTGTGTATGTGAGCGCATGTGTGTGTGTATGAGAGAGAGAGAGCAGTGAGAAGGAAAGAGAACATTCTGGCAACAAGTCATCTTGGAAGGAAAATGCCAAGGAAGAAATATAGCTGCTCAGTAGTGAGGCAAAAGCTCCAGGTTCCGGTGCTGTTGAATGAATTGGCAAGAGTTATAAGGAAAAGTTTGGTGAAAGAATTTTGATTTATTAGATGAGATGTGTTTTAGTGCCAATCCTATGATTTCATTTCAGTATAAAAATGTTTATTTTTACATAGAGATGAAATAGTGAAGTCACTCAGTCATGTCCAATGCTTTGCAACCGCATGGACTGTGTAGCCCACCAGGCTCCTCCGTCCATGAAATTTTCCAGGCAAGAATACTGGAGTGGGTTGCCATTTCCTTCTCCAGGGGATCTTCCCAACCCAGGGATTGAACCCGAGTCCTCCACATTGCAGGCAGATGCTTATATGGTATGTAAAATTTATTTTTGAAATTCAAAGTAACCAAATAGCAACTGCTTATTTAATACCTGCCATATACCTAAAAATTGTAGGGAAACAGTGTAAAAGATAAAATACAATCTTGGTCCTTGGGGAAATAGGTACTCATGAAAAGTTAATGATCTGTGTCATAAGACTGTGTGATTAATAATTGCCAGTTAAGTGGCAGACCCAGGAAGTTGAGTTCAAAGGAGATAGGGATGAGTCTAGATTTGATTGTTAGCAAGGGTTCATATAGGACGAAAGAGCTTTGAGGATGGATAGGATTCAAACCGGAGAAGGCAGTGGCACCCCACTCCAGTACTCTTGCTTGGAAAATCCCATGGATGGAGGAGCCTGGTAGGCTGCAGTCCATGAGGTCGCTAAGAGTTGGACATGACTGAGTGACTTCACTTTCACTTTTCACTTTCGTGCATTGGAGAAGGAAATGGCAACCCACTCCAGTGTTCTTGCCTGGAGAATCCCAGGGATGGGGGGGCCTGGTGGGCTGCCGTCTGTGGGGTCGCACAGAGTTGGACACGACTGAAGTGACTTAGCAGCAGCAACAGCAGGATTCAAATAAGCAGAAGATTGGGACCATTTATTTGTGCATCATTTATTGAATATGGGTGTTAGGGATACAGAATTGAATTAGACATATTAAGTAAGATAGATT